TAAACAATCATCTACATAAATAAATTTTTATTTATAAGATATTACATCATGAAGTATTTACATAAATAAATTTTTATTTGTAAAAAATTACATAAATAAATCTTAGAAATATAAAAACTCAATTAAATATAGAGATGATTATTGGATAAAATGGACGAGTAATTTGAACTGAAATTCTTAACCCAGGGATCATTACAATAAAATAAATACGACTTAATAAAATTATTATTTAACACAAGACAATTCGTGTGTATAGTTGGGCTTAGAAAAATTAGTATATAAAACTTTTAAATATGTGTATCTTATAAAATATGTTAGTAAATATGTTAGTGCTTGTTATTGAAAAATAATATTACAGCAATATAGAAGAAGATGATTTGTAGGAAAGATAGAAATCAGTAAGCAAAATCGAAATACCAAGTAATGATTGGATTCCTGATTAAGAGACTGCAAGGAAGAAACACACAACGAAATAGAAACCTTTTTTTCTCATGTTTAGACACTCTTTACTAAAATTTCTGTTGGCATTTTTTTTATTGTCAATCAAACTTGTTTCCTTTTTTATCCGAAAATGTTCACTTCTTAATTTGTGGGATGAGTTTTGGGTCTTGCAAATAATAAACATATATTGACAATGTTTGACACATAATAATTAATGATTATATGTTTTAATTCAGATAAAACCAATAATATCTAATGGCTCAACTCATTTTTTGGAATTAAGAAAAAAATAATATGCACTATAATCTGCAAAGTTTATACCAATAAATATTTTTACAAAATAATTTCACTTAATTGAAGATGAAAAAAAAATTCCCGCACTACAGCGCATGTCAATTCAAAACAAAATGGCCAACTTTTTAAAGTCTCCACAAAATAGAATCTTATATATAAAAGATGACCAATTCTCTCCATATGAGTGACACCTCAGCATTTTAAAGTTAATATAGAGATGACATGTGTCAATTTTTAATTTAAAGTTATAATTTTTAAAGAAAATTAATCAATAAATTTTAATATTAAATTTTTAACCATTCAAAGAAAACGAAAAGTTTTTTTTATTAATTGATTCTTAATTAACATTTATGTCAATATTAAACAAGACTTTATGTTATAATTAATTAAAAATATTGATGATTTTTTTGTATAAAACTTTTAATTTTTTAATAATATGAAAAGTTTTTTTATTAATTAATTCTCAAATAACATTTATGTAAATATTAAACAAGAATTTATGTTATAATTAATTTAAAATATTGATGGTTTTTTGGTGTAAAACTTTAATGTTTAATGATATTATATTTAAAATTGATTGATTTATAATAATATAGCAATTGATGATTATGTTTTTTTTAGAAAAATACAAAATTTATAAAATGGAAATAATTGAAAAAAAAACCCGCACATTATGTGCGGGTATTCACCTAGTAAGATTAAAACTTCCACTATATTCGAAAAGTGAAAATTTGACACCCACATTCTAAACTCTATTAACTCGTTTAACGTAAATCATAAAACAATGTTTGTTTTAGAATACACTTGTCAAGTTGCAGCTGTATCTGAAGCAGTGGCTTTATTTATAGAGCTAGTATATGGTATATGCAGTAATACAAGGGAGCATTGTGGAGTAACTGATGACTTGGAGCTGAAGTGTAAGCTGAGTTGGACTTGTAGTTGATGTAGCTGAGCTGGACAAGCATCTTGGAGCATGGAAGATTTCTTTAATTATTCTTAGAAGAAGTTTAAGGATATATCATATATCCTTGGAGATTTGTCTTTATCTTCAAGGTGAGTTTTTGGCTAGGATTAGTCATCAGTCTTTTGAACATAGACAGATGTGTTGAAGCATCGTATGTGCTTAACACAACTGTGAAAGAATTCTTAGCATAGGATGTGACTGTTTTATAAGAGATCATAAACTAAGGGCTAAGAAATTATATTGAGAGGTTTTTGGATCACATATAGATCCTAGAACAACTGAGGCTATAATGGAAAAACGAGGTGTGTCTTGTATTTGCCTTAAGTCAGTTCAACTTATATGGTTACTGAACAGATCTAATAACATATTTTTCGTGTAAAGAAACCTATGTATTATATTGTATTCTAGTATCTGTGTTATAGTTCTTGCATTTTTATTTGGTATCTGAGATGTCATAGTATGTATTGCAAGCAGGTGAGATCATGTGGAAAAATTGGAGAGTTACCAAGACATGCTGAACAACTCGAGAGTGATCTCTAGATGCAGGGAACTATGATTTTGGAAGGCAGGGTCATGTCAATGATCAATTTAGATTTGACAAAAGAATATGCCGAACAAAACAATGTTAAGGAAGCTATCTTAAAGGCTTGGAACTCACAATACTTAGTACACAAGATATATATCTTGCTCCCAAAACCCAAAACTTTCAAACTCAATTATCAGAAAGATCTCCCAACATATTCTGCACTAAAACAAAATTAATTTTTAGAATTTTATGGTCCACAATACTTGGTCTACAAGATATATAGATTGCTCCTCAAATGATTTCTAATATTCTAAAAGTTAAAGCGTTTTTCCGGAGAGTCGTAAGAGGTGTTATTACGTTGTTGATAAGATAATGTCGAGGGAAATTCGTATTGACTTTTGGTGTCAAAAATGCACGACTTTTTTTCTTACACTGAGGCAAGGGATATATAGCTTGCTCCTCAAAATTAATTTTTAGAATTTTATGGTCTACAGTACTTGGTCTACAAGATATATAGCTTCCTCCTCAAATTATTTCTAATATTCTAAAAGTTAAAGCGTTTTTCCAAAGAGTTGTAAGAGGTGTTATTACGATTATTGATAAGATAATGTCGAGGGAAATTCGTATTGACTTTTGGTGTCAAACATATGGTTTAAAGGGATATATGCACGACTTTTTTTCTTACACTGGGGCAAGACTGGTACGATAGCATCTCCCTTGCCCAAAAAAGAAATGGGTTTGATGTAGGTTCGTTTTTTGCAAATTTTCACTATTTTTTTTCTCAAGAATATTGACCCAAACCAATCCATCTGGATATTAAAAGAAGCTTTTTGTGGGTTGTTTGGATTATCTGGAAAGACATAAACAATTTGGTTCATGAAAAAAACAAAAAATGGCTTTGGATTTTATATCCAAGATTAAGGATGAACATTAAAAATGGGTCTCAGCTGAAGGGGTGGAAACAAGCCTTTAATCAATTTCACCGCCAGACAGTGTGGTAAAGATTAACTGAGTTATGGGTACCTCCAGTGTCTTTTTTTTTTTTTTTGGGCAACGAGTACCTCCAGTGCCTTTTTGGCTCAAATGTAACGAATTGATATCTAAAAAGAATCGTTTGGGAGGTTTTGTTTGGGTATTGAAAGATCGGATGGAAGGGTACTTTCATATACAGTAGGCGTGTTTTTAATATTAAATTAATTGAGAACATGTTGGATACAAAACGAAAACGTCTGGAAAGTATGTTTGGGCGATGGAAAGTATGTTGTATAGCATTTAACGAGTAGTCTTTGGTATTTTACCAATTTTCGGTTTGCAAACCCGGCCAATCCCCGATTAAGTCAAAATTAAATATTTATATACTTATTTGTGTAGTGATTTGTTTATGTATCGCGCTCAAAGCGAATTTCACCGCTATTCGATTACGTGTCAGCTCCAGAATGAATTTTGGCCGCAAAAAGACCGTTTAGCCCTATTTTTCAATTACGTGTCATTTTTTTATTGGTTTTTATCTGATGACGTGTAAAAAAAAACTTAAAACAAATCGGTCTAAATTATTATGGTTAAATGCTTAATTATATACTCAATCAAACCGTTTTTAAAATTAGATAAACAAAAATTTAGGAAAAAAAATAGAAATTTACCATTTCTAAGGTCTTCGAAATAAACAAAAAATCTATAAAAAAAAAACGTTTTTATAAAAAAAAAACTAGAAATTTACCATTTCTAATGTTTTCGAAAAAAAACAAAAATTTAACTAAAATCTAACGAGATTTATGCTAGAATATCACTAATTATTATAGTGTTTACGATTTTTTATGTTTATAGGATTTTTGATTTCTTATATAGTTTAGTATAAATATTAGCCACTAACAAAAATGTTTTTTTCTTAAACCACAAAAACGTTTAAAAAAAAAATGGAAACTATATCTCTTAGTGATTAATTTTTTTATATTTCTAAAATTTACAAAAAAATCTAACAAAATGTTAAAAGAAACAAAAATGGAATTTATTTAAATATTAATAAATGTCGTATGAAAACAAAAAAAAAATTAACAAAAAATCTAACAAAAAAACTAAAAAAAAAATTATATGGTTTTCGATTTTTATAAACTATATACTTATTTGTCTATTGATTACCATTTCTTATATTTTAGAAAAAATCTAATTAAAATGTTAAAAAGAAACAAAAATTAGAATAAAATTTAGAATGTCGTTTCAAAATAAAAAAAAAAAAATTACGTTAGAATATCGCTAATTATAGTGTTTACAATTTTTTATGTTTAATGGGTTTTTGATTTCTATAATTTTATAAAACCAAAATTTAGTAAAAACCTAAGAAAAAATCAAAAATAATAATAAATGAAATCTATATGTCTAATGAAATATCGTTAATTATGATGTCTATAATAGGATTTTCGATTTCTTATCTCTATACTTCAGAAAACCTTTTTGCTAAAATCAAAAGCTTATTTGTAAATTTTGGATTCATCTAACTTAAAACAGATATTAAAAAAAAATAATGTTCTTAAAATTATTTATTTATAAAATTATACTTGGTAGACATATATAGCCCATGTAAGATGTAGAAAATTAACTAGTAATATTTTAATTAAAACGATTTTTTTTTTGTCTCAATTACCACACATGATGGAACTGTAAACAGAATACAGTAAACCGTAACATTCAAAAGTTTAAAGTTTAAACGTATTTAAATGAAATATAACTGATTATATTATAAAATAAAATGATATTATGACAAAACGTACAAAACATGATATTTTCAAATTTCAACATATTTACGAACTTCGACAAAAGACAAAGAACTAAATGAGAAATAACAACGACAAAAATATAATATAAAATGATTTCAAAAAATAAAATAAAATAAAATAAAAACCAACTCCGCTCTAAGCACCTCATATAGTTTTGCTCTGCTCCAATATCTCATAAATCTGGTGAACAGAACAATCATTACTTGCAGTAGTTCACCTTATCTCTCTTTTTCCCTCTTATCTCTCTATCCTATGAATAGGCATTTTTCATAAGCATACTCAGAGAAAAAAGAAAAACCCAAAAAACCATGACTTTTAGCAGAAGCAACCTCTTAAAACATTTCCTCTTACATCTTCTTCTCCTTCTTCTCCCTAAACTCCTCCAAGCTCTTAACACTGATGGTGTAATTTTACTCTCTTTCAAATATTCCATCCTCAATGACCCTCTCTCTGTTCTACGCAACTGGAACTACGACGACGAAACACCATGTTCCTGGACAGGTATCACTTGTACGGGGCTTGGGAATCCAAACTCTCCAGACATGTTTAGAGTTACAAGCTTGGTTCTTCCAAACAAACAGCTTCTTGGTTCTGTTTCTCCAAGCTTGTTTTCAATCCCAAATCTAAGAATCTTGGATCTCTCCAACAATTTCTTTCATGGGTCACTGCCGGATTCAGTCTCCAACGCTACTCAGCTTCGTGTTCTGTCCTTTGGGAACAACAACGTTTCCGGTGACTTGCCTGATCGTATCAGCAACATGGCTACTCTCCAGCTTTTGAATCTCTCCGCTAACGCCTTCACCGGTAAAATCCCTCAAAACCTCTTACTTCTCAAGAATCTGACGGTTCTGGATCTTTCCTCAAATCTTCTTGACGGATCCATTCCTCCGGATTTCAAAGGAACAAGTCTCCATTACCTCAACCTATCACACAATAAACTCACTGGCGTTATTTCTCCCGTTTTCGCCGAGAAAGTTCCAGCAACCGCCATTATCGATCTCTCCTTCAACAATCTCACAGGACCGATCCCTAGTACCCCACCAATGCTTAACCAAAAGACCGAGTCTTTTTCTGGCAATCTAGGCTTGTGTGGACAGCCATTGACGACCCTCTGTTCAATCCCTTCTACTATTTCAGACCCACCAAATATCTCTGACACTACTTCACCAGCTGCAATAGCAGTCATGCCCAGAACTTCACCTCCAACGAACCCTTCACCAGAATCACCAAACCAAACAGCCAAAAGCAAACTAAAGCCAAGCACCATCGTTGGAATCACAGTTGCAGATATAGCTGGTCTAGCTATCATTGGCATGTTCATCCTCTACCTATACCAGCTCAAGAAACGAAGAAGCTACCAAGAGTACAGCACTTTCAAAGTCTTGAAAGACTGTCTGGACAAAAACGATACATGGTCCGAAAAGAAACCGAGTCACAACCCGAAACAGAGCGTATCCGAATCGGAGAACACGAAATCTCCAGATGCGAAAACGAGATGGGGCTCGTGCATAATCAGAAAATACGACGAGACATCATCAGAAGCTAATAGCTCTGAGAGTGACTTAGAGAACCAGCTTCAAGACGAAAAGACCATTGAGGCGTTTAATCGAACAGATGGTGGACGATTGAAACACAACTCTCGAACTCAACTTGTCACCGTCGACGGAGAGACACATCTGGAGCTAGATACTCTACTAAAGGCGTCTGCTTACGTTTTGGGGACTAGCGGAAGCGGAATCGTGTATAAAGCGGTGTTAGAGAACGGCGCGGCTTTTGCAGTGCGGCGGATCGGAGCGGAGAGTTGTACGGCGGCAAAATTGAGGGAGTTCGAGCGGGAAGTTCAGGGAATCGCTAAGCTTCGACACCCAAATCTCGTTAAAGTTCGTGGCTTCGTATGGGGGAACGAAGAGAAGCTTCTCATCTCCGACTATGTCCCAAATGGAAGCCTACATTTTTCCTCCATCTACGGTGAGTTTCCTTAAACGGCGTAGGTTATAATATCTGGCGCATTTTAGTCCGTTCCCGTGTAGCATGTTCACCGTTATGGTAGAATTGATAAATCGATCCAAAATTAACATTCTTAAATTTAGTTAAAAAAAAAAATCATTGATCAAATTCAAAGCTAGGAGTAGGAGTTTTTTTTTTTGGTCAAAGGAGGTTTTGTTAATTCATGAATTATGATCTCTAAATATCAAAACTCTTTTGATATGAAAACAGTAAAATCAGGCTCGTCTTCTACATCTTCGCAAACCCCTCTCTCCTTTGAGGCACGGCTCAAGATAGCAAGAGGCATAGCTCGAGGAATTGCCTACATCCATGACAAGAAGCAAGTGCATGGCAATATCAAGCCAAATAACATTCTCTTGGACTCCGAGTTTGAGCCAATAATTACAGATATGGGTGTTGACCGCCTAATGACTCAAGCCCATTCACTCACGGCTGGCCCAACATCGAGCTCACAGCACCATCCACCAGAATGGTCTACAAGCCAGAAACCAAACCCCAAATGGGACGTCTATTCCTTTGGTATCATACTTTTGGAGCTTCTCACATTTCTTGGTCGATCAAGATTTGGTTCGCAATTCGGAGATCGATGAGAAAAGTTGGTTGTTGAGGTTGGTTGATGGGACGATTAGGGCTGAAGTGGTTCACCGTGAGGATGAGACGGTCACATGCTTTAAGTTAGGCTATGGTTGTGTATCTTCCTTGCCTCAAAAGCGACCGTCCATTAAGGAAGTGGTGCAAGTGCTAGAGAAAATGTTTGTTTAGCTGTTTATTAATTTAGCAAAATTAGCATGAATTAGTTTGTTGCAATTCAAATTAATTACTATTTTCTTATAATTATTTTTTTCTTGTTTTTTTATAATGTATCCTGCTTCTGCTTTGTTGCTTTCTGTTTATTATAAAAGTTTGTTCTAAGAGAACCATTACCAAACTATTTATTTTCATTTATTCGACCAGAATATGATATTGTTCATACGCAATACATTCATCTTGAGAGCAAATCCCAGTGACTAGGTGGATAGCCCGCGACTCGCGCGGGTAGAGTGTTTTCTTTAAATTAAGGATGTATTAAATTAGTTTTTACATTTTGGAACATATACATTTTATATGCAATATAGCCCACTTATGTTAAGATTAAGGTTTGTATGTCAATAGATTCTGGATCCGGAAAAGGTTTAACTCGAGTTAAACTGCTTTTTCAGTTGAATTTCATCCTTAAACTTTGTATGTTGTATGTAAAACAATTTGAAGGTTAACACTGTTAATTACTCTGTGTAGTTTGATTTACCTGTCGTCCATGTAAATATTTTAAGTATTTTATAATTTTTATGAAGTTATTATCAATACTTTTAAGTATTTATTATCCGTGATTATCCTTTCCTGATGAAGTTATGATTTGCTTAAACTTTGTTCGGATCGAGTTTAACCAAGATAATCCTTCCCGGTTCGAGTAAAACTCTATCCGGATCGAGTTTATCCATGAAAATCTTTCTCGAATTGAGTAAAACTTTGTCTTGTTCGAGTTTATCCGATAAAATCCTTCCTGGATCGGGTTAGACTTTGTCCGGATAAAGTTTATCCTAGTAAATCCTTCCCTGATCTAGTTAAACTTTTTTCGGACCTAGTTTGTATGAGAAAGTCCTTCCTGGATGAAATTACGATGAGAAAACCCTTCCCTGATCGAGTTTAACTTTGTCAGGATCGAGTTTATTCCAGAAAATCATTCTGGTTCGAGTAAAACTCTGTCTGGATCGAGTTTATCTGAGAAATTCTTCCCGGATTGAGTAAAACTCTGTCCTGATCGAGTTTATCCGGGAAAATCCTTCCCGGATTGAGTTAAACTTTGTCCGGATCGAGCTTATCCTAGAAAATCCTTCCCGGATTGAGTTTAACTTTGTTCGGACCGAGTTTATTCGAGTAAATCCTTCCCGGATCGAGTTAAACTTTGTCTGGATCGAGTTTATCCAAGAAAATCCTTCCCGGTTCGAGTAAAACTCTGTTCAGATCGAGTTTATCCGTGAAAATCCTTCCCGGATTGAGTAAAACTCTGTCCTGTTCGAGTTTATCCAAGAATATTCTTCCCGGATCGAGTTAAACTTTGTCGGGATCAAGCTTATCCTTGAAAATCCTTCCCTGATCAATATACCTTTAAACTCAGATATGCGTGTAATTGTCATTTTTAATATTACTTGCAACTTTCATTAACCCGTGAAAACTAAAAGTGGGTTTGTGTTAACATTTTGAGTCTCATAAATCGGCTGAACAGTTTCATATATATTCTCACATGGAATTGTGCTTAATTCTAGAACAAAAGAAGATACCCTGGTTCTCTCAGTCAACACTATAATGTATCTGTTATCCGAAATCAGATATGAACTACGGTTATTACGAACGCTAAAATTCATAACCTCTATAATGTTTCCTTCACTTAAACAGCTTCCAAACATTGGTAGTAGGGACCCATGAACCATGGCTTGAATAGTATTTTCCTGTGTGTATGGTCAACAACATCATTATATACCCTCAATTTTTTTGAATCATAAATAATATGAATAAACAATGTCCCACTACTTTATAATGAAAGAATGTAATATGGTACCTTGTGATCGATTAGAAGCAAATTATTTCCCTTTGACCGACTTTCATTGGTAGGGTATGTTGATTCCCACTTTCTTAATACCCTAACAATGATACGACGACAGGACCGTGTGGTATTAATATGATCAAGAGTCAGATAATAATCCATGATGATGTTTAGAGCTAAATGCATACTTGAAATGCCTTTATATATAGGATTTGGCAGCTTAAATAATTCTGCATTAATAGTTCGCCGCAAGTTAAACTTTTTAAGTAGATAAGATTTTGAAGATTTAAGGAATCTTTTATATATCATCATCAAATGTAGACATAAATTTTCTTTGATATCTTTTTTTTTTTAATTTAATTTAGGTAGATAATGATAATAACTGTTTTATAGATTACATATTTCACCGGTTTGTAAACGTATGATTAAATACCATAGAATATTCAATAATCTAAGGTTTGCAATTATTTGGATAGATATATGTATATATTTTAAATATTTTTCAATCCGATATACAATTAATGTAGATATTTCGTTATTCCCCTAAAATAAGTCGTAACAAATAAATATGGGTCAGTATTTTAGGTTTTCGTGTTTGTTACGCAAGAGAATTTACCCTAATTATAGCTACTGATATTTTCGACATCATGTCTATAAGATTTTTTTGTAATCTAATCTCTAGTTTTTAGCTCCTTATGTTTTCGTGGTGCTTTCGCTTTTTGTATTTACCCAAAATGCATCTACTTGTTTATGCGTAACAGTCATTATATCCAAAGAATAGCTGTGAACGTCCACATGCGTAATGTATAATAATTAATCTTGTAATATGTGATCACAAATATTGTTTGTTTAATGATTTGACCAATCCAAAAGTAATAAATCAATGTCACTTATCGAAGAACAGCGAAACTAAAGTAAAACTTCCAAAACCTGAAGAATGTAATAATTGTAAAGAATTTAAAAATCTATTTTTTTAAAAAATCTAAACTAAATCCAAAACACCTTTTTAAAATTAAAACGCTTGAAAAATTCACTTACGTTAGTTTCGGGTGTTTGAATATCCAAATCAGAGTCCCTCTTAGTTCCAACCAACGGTGGCGTTATGACCGGACAATCATTTGATATTTGTAGTTCATCAACAACTTCCACCGGCTAAATACAGAAAATTCGTAAAAGGATGAATCATTTTATTTTAATAAACTACATTTGAATATATAATGAAAGTACTATTGATAAGATACCGCTGGTGAAGAAATCATCATCATCAATAATTATATCGACTATGTAAGATGTTTTGGTGCTCTTCAGATTGTTAGGAGACATACCAATTTTAAAAAGAAAACGTTTACCGACCAGAGCGGCTAGAGCTTGAGGCAAAACGGAGGGTGGTTGCTGTTAAAAACATAAGAGCATAAAAACTGATTAAACTTATAAAAATTCTTGAAAATGTAAAAGTATGTAAAAGTGTAAATTACCCCAGCAACTTCATTAGCCAACGTATCGGCGGAGTTACGTAAAAAAGCACTTGCAACTGGTTCAAAGAGTATAAACCTCAGTTGTTCTTCCAAGTTATCAGTAACACGAAGGACAAGCTTATATCTACAGCAACATTACTAGGATCATATAAAGATATCATTTTTAAAAAAAAAATTTGAATAAATTTCGAAGTCAAAAATACGTACCTAGCTATAGCAGAAACAAGCTTATCACACTTACTACAATCAAACAGAGGAGGACTCTCATCATCAGACTTGTTTTCAACTGGATGTGCAAGGTTGGGCAAGCAATATAATAACATTGGGGATTATACTCGACACTTTCCACCTTTGCAGCAAGAACACACTTAATGGCCTAAATAGAATTATTTTAAAACTAACAATTAATGTTTTTAAATCCTCAAAATACTAAAAACAAATGAACAAATAGTACCTCAGTGGCATAGATAATTCCATGAATGGTTTTACTTGGATTTTATGCAAAGAACTTATCATGCCAAGAGTCAGTATTGGTTATCGTTGAGGGCGAACTTTGATTACTATTAATTATCAAATTGTCTTGAGGCAACCTAAATATATATATATATATATATAAATATCATCAAATTTTATAATTAACCAATAAAATAGTTTTACAGAAAATTAGATGAACTGTATAAACACAAGGTGAACCAATAAAACTCACAAGGATCTGAAGTCTTGACACTGTTGGGATAGTGGATCTAGGAGAAATTTTGTTGCGTTAAAGGCGTTTGATATACTGGAAACACCTGTACAACATTTTTTAAATTTGTATTCCATTATAAAAATGAAAAACCCTAAAAATGACGATTTAAAAAACCAATATAAAAGCACCTCCAATGGAGGTTCATCAAGGATTCATCAATGGGGTCCACAGTTTTTTTTGGGCTTTTTTAAAATAAAAAAACCTAAATTTTCAACGATACTGTCTCTTGGAGATGATCCGGACGAACCCGTCTCTTTGGGGTTCATTGGCCACATGTCACAATTGCATTGGCTTTTTGGTAAGTGGTTTCGGTGGAAAAAAACTTTGGGTTTTATTCGAAATTTTCTCGACTATGGAGGTCAGCATTCTCCGACCAATCGCCATCGCCGGAAACTCTCCCTCTTTTTCATCTCTCACTTCTGCTTTCACTTCCCCATCTCTCTTCTTCGTCTCGTCTCATTTTTCCCTGTCAGTTCCTTCTTCGGCGTTTCTGGTCTTTGGCGTGAGTGGCAAATGCAAGGTATCTTCTTCCGCGTTTCTGGTCTTGAAATTGCTCAATTTACAGTAAATTTAGATTAGTTGGGTCTTGAAATTGTTTGATTCCCCAAAAATTTGAGATTTTGGGTCATGAAATTGTTCAATTTACAGCGTGTTTTCAATCGAGCAATTTTCAGGGCAACACTTGATCTTAGGCGGTCAATTTCCGGACGAAGCGCTGCAGCGTGTTTTCAGGGCAACACTTGATCTTCTAGTTGCATATAAGAATCAGCTAGCTGGTATGCTGTGCTTATGATACAGTTTCTCTTCACTCGGTGTGGTAATGTTTACAATTATTCCCTCTCCCATCCTTCTCGCAGGAGCAGCAAAGGAGACAGAAGTATGCAGAGCTGAGAAGAGTGGAGATCGAGAAGGAGAAGCAAAAGAAGGCAGCCGAAGCTGCTGCTACTCCTGTTCATGCTATATGATCTTTAAGCTTGGATCAAAGTCATAGTGATAAGCACAAGAAGTCGTCATTTTGGTGAAATTCTCGTTCATACATATTCAGCATTGCAGCCTGCTTCCAGGTTATACAAACAAAGAAGCAGATTTCTGAATATTTCGTTGTTTTGTTTGTTTGGTAGGTGAAAAAATGGGACATTTGCATCAAGCTGGAACTGGATAGTTTGGTAAGTTTGTTTTAAAACAGAACATTTGTTTGCAGAGCAATTTTTTTTTTTTTGAGTGAACCCTTGAGAAGTTCACCATTGGAGGGGAGAATATTTGTAAAACTATAATGAGGTTCTTAAGTTAATTTATTATTAAATTTATTATTAAAAATGACTATGAACCCCAAGTACAAGCTCAGGGTTGGAGATGCTCTAAGGCTAGTATACCGTGCCATTTCGAAACACATCCCAATATGACGACACATATAACCACATATGAACTGTTTTTGGCAACATATTCTGAAACTGGATCCCCGAAATCTCCTCATAGAGTACAAGTTAAGCGTCGATCACTGTGGTGGGAAATTCAGTCAAACAAACTATTTTAAGGTTTTCCTAAAATTAAATATTATGAAACTTACACGGGATCAACACCACATACAACTTTTTAGTCTTTTTGCCTTTAGCCAAAACATCTGAAGAGGTAAGACTAACAATTTGGCCTACGACGTCTGAATACAAATAAAAAAGTATCAATATTACAGATTCATATTTTTCACTTTTTAAATTTAAAGGAAGATTAAATAGCGAACAGTAACCTATGAGCACAGTTTTATCGTATTTCCCGTTTTGAATACTTGGGAAATCATTCAAATATTTGAAGGGCAAGTAACAATGAATAACTCAGTTAGCACTAAATAAGTTGGAATACATAAAAGGAAACCGAATATAACATATGGTCCTAAATAACTCAAGCACTAAATAAGATGATACATAAAAGGAAACCGAATATAACATATGGTCCTAAATAACTCAAGCACTAAATAAGATTCATGAATTCAATGAACTTTATAGTCTAAAGGAATGTTTTAAAAATCAGAGATTGGGTCGCCACTTCCTTTGCTCTGGATCTCAAAGCCACTTTGAAGGAAACTCAGGATATGTCAATCTCCTTTCTTCGTGATAAAGCTGATTGCATTCCATCCAAGTTTGTAATTTGCTTTTATGCCTACGTAAAGCAAGAGACCTCCATGCCGATTCGCAGGCTGATATATGCCTTTGTTTAAGTAATAAGAGTTAGAAAATATGTTGTAACCCTAAATCATATATAATATAATCAAAGAGAGTATAATTAAACCGATGATCTATTTATTATAATATGGTAATCTATATCACAAAATCAAACACATATCTGGAGATCTCATCAGAAGAGTCTAACTACATGATCAAATTTTGATGCCAACAAACAAGCACACCCCCTATAATTTTTTTAAAGAAACTAGTTAGTTCCATATCGAATGTGTTAAAAAGGGAGAGGATAAAAAAGCAAGAACAAGAGTTAAACCTAATGTGTTAGTACTCAGGAAAAATAGGAGGTTGTTGTCAATTTATGTGGTATATATATAGGCTAATGATATAATCTAATTCAGATTCAGATAAAATCGTGAATTTTAGAATTTTTTTAATATTACAACTTATATTTTAATTGTGATTTTAGATTTTAGATTTAAACAATTTTTTTTGTTTTTTTTTTAATAAAATATTTTTTAAAAAAAATTAAGAAAGGGTAAAGGGTAATCAGCCACTCTGAGATTAAATGAGAGAGACTTAAACAAAAATTTTACTTTGCTTTTAATATATATGATAAAAAGGGAGAGGATAAAAAAACAAGAACAAGAGTTAAACCTAATGTGTTAGTACTCAGGAAAAATAGGAGGTTGTTGTCAATGTATGTGGTATATATAAGCTAATGATATAATATAATTCAGATTCAGATAAAATCGTGAAATTTAGAATTTTTTTAATATTACAACTTATATTTTAATTGTGATTTTAGATTTTAGATTTAAACAATTTTCTTTGTTTTTTTTTTAAATAAAATATTTTTTAAAAAAAAATTAAGAAAGGTTAAAGGGTAATTAGCCACTCTGAGATTAAATGAGAGAGACGTAAACAAAAATTTTACTTTGCTTTTAATATATATGATAAGATTTATAAAAACTCTGTTATAAGAATTTCCAATTTTTCCAAGAAAAAAAAACAAGATAATCTTTTATTATTATTTGAGAAGGACACTTGGACATTTATGTCATGTTTTATTAACAACTTTGTCATGCTGATGTGTCAATTTCAGAGACTCAAAGATTTTCTGAAATTATACTCAACTTACTAGATTAATTACATCATATGCTAGTAACATTAATTTGGTTAAAGATTACTTTATATCAAATATATATTTAATATTCCAACATTTAATTTGTAATATGTTCTCTCTCTTTTTATTTCTTATCAATATATTTATAAAAATATAATACATAATATTACTTATGTTACTAAACATTATTTTCTTATCTCATCTTTCTTTAATAATCATATTATCTATTTAATAATGATAAAATATAATTTTTTCAATAATATTATAATTTATATTTTTTATATCAAAGCAAATTATCTTAGTCTGATGTTAGACCATCTCTAATGCATGCTTCTATTTTTTCATCTAAAATAGAGGAACTCTAAAATAGATGCACATTTGTCTCCAATGCTTACCTCTATTTTTTCCTTTAAAAAAGAATATTCTTAGTATATTATTTTTGTTATTTATTTTTAACACCCTTCATTAATAAAATTTATGAATTGATTCCACTTATTTCTTTTTTTACAAAAATTCATATAAATTATATTAATATTAAATTTTCATAAATAAAATTTATGAATTCACCCTTTATTTTAATTTTTATAAAGTTTCCATAAATTATAGTAATATTAATCTTTAATTAATAAAATTTATAAATTAACTACACTTATTTTATTTTTTACAAAAATTTCTACAAATTATAATAATACTAGAACTAAAAATTTATAAATTAAAGAACATATTACATTACATCATATTAAAAAAACATAATAGTTTAATCTTTACCACTGATGTGTTTTTTCCACAAATAATCATTTATTTTTATGTATTTATAATTTGTAATTTTTTTGTAGTTTAATATGCAATGAAAACTTTCATATTTAATAACATTAAATGTTTTTAAATTTTTTTCTAAACTATAACCAAAATTATCACATTTATTTCAACTAAATATATGAAATTCTATATTTGTTGCATAAATAGAAAAATTTAAAAAGTTAAAGGACTACTTTACAAATAAAAAAGTTCACATCTATTATAGAGGAAAACAAAATTCCTCTATATTTGGAGGAAAAAATAGCAATCTCTATTTTAGAAGTGAAAATAAAGGTGGATTGGAGTATAAACTCTATTTTCACCTTTAAAACAGAGGTGAGTTGGAGATACTCTTAGACCGGTTATATAGAACATATTAATCTAATTTAATATATTTAATGTATAACTTTATTCATATAAAAAATACTATTAAAATTAATTATAAAATTTCTAATTATCTAGCATTTATGCAATTGTATTATAAAATAAATATAACTTTGATCATTATTTATAATTGTATAATCATATATATATATATATATATATATTTGAAATTATAAATATCAGCTAACATTTTTATAGCTGTATTTATATATATGATATTTGCATATTCGAATAAAAGAATTATAGTTAATATTTACATCGCACATCTAGTTATAAATTCATAATTCTTCTCAGTGACAAACGAGCAAACTGATTTTCTAAGTTTAAATAAACCGGACAAAACCGATATCCCTTTTCTGTGTATGAAGACAAGCTTCCGTATAGATTCATAGGATTAATCTCAATTTGTTGTATTATTATAATCTCAAAATAATCCTATTATCTATTATATAAAGATTCAGTTTAGTCTCACCAGCTTGACACATAAGCACTCCATCTTTTGCCACATCAGCTTGACACATCTGCCAAATTAATTGATATTTTCAATATTTCTATTCTTAATTCTATTTCGATTTATTTCATTCCCTTTTTAATTAATCAGAATATTAATTACAAATCGTTCCAACTTCACCATTCAAATATTTAATTCACATTACTTTATTGTATCTTTTCTAATAAACCATTCACCACCTCGAAACTCCTCTGCCCTATGACCATGAAAAGGACGAATCCCCTACCGCCATCACGTCTTCTCTGTCTTACCTTTGTTAACTCCTAAATATACGCACACTATAAAAAAAGTTTCATTGCATATCAAAGATCATTACCGCAAAAGCTGTACTAACCCCAATGATAAACCCTAGCTTTCACCTTCCCTTCTCTCTCCCTCAAAACCTCCCAAGTTTCTGCCGCCAACGTCTCACAAATCTTCCCCTCCGTTTTTGTGATGCGTGATATAGAAGTGCAGTGGCGTCCGCCATAGAATCCCTCATCTACAATTTATAGCTTTTTTTAACTGACGACTACGACCAGAAATAGTCTCATCCTTAAAACAAAATAAACTATGAATCTAATCGTCTCATCGTAGAGATTTTGATGGAGACCTTCACGGTTTTGAGTAGACATTACGTTAGAGCTGGATTACTTTCAGGGAGGTAATACTTTACTTTAACTGAATGGAAGATTACATATGCGTTCCTGTTAAAACTGTGTTTTGCATATTCATTAGCATCTTCTCTAGAAAAAGAAGATTTCAATGGCTTGAATGATAAATTCGAACCAGATGTTACAATTTACACTAATTTGGTTGTGGTGCCTAAAAATCTCCAAGACAGAGAGAGTGTTTTGTGGGATGGGGCATTAGAATAATGCGTACAAGTTCTTTACAGAAATGGTTGAAGATAATTGTTTGATACTGATCTTGTCTTTATCTGAGATGGTTTTGCTCCTTTAAGAAAAGCTGCACAATTGAAGACGCATGAAGAGTTAGTGGCGAATATGAAAGTTGCTGGAGATGTAAGTTGTCAAGATGAAGTAATGTTTGCTAAAGAAAGATGCTAGGGACTCTAAAATAATTATTTTAAAATAGCATATTTATTTGATAGGATCACAAAATCTCCATATTACTTGATAGAAATATATATTCAATGTAGAATTTAATGAGAAATAATCAGGCAAATAGTTTTTCTAATAAATTACATTTTGATTCTTAACTTAATGTTTGTAATTTGTCCACAATTAACAATATACATGGAATAATAATTCTTTTAAATTTTGGATCTGTGCGATAGGCTATGTGGGTGTATTTTGTAATGAAGATGGTGAATTAAATTAAACTATTGTAGTATCTTACCTCTGAAGTCTGAACAATTGAAAGTAAACCATAACGCAAAATTTAACATATTATACATCACGTTTTTTTGAATGTCACTAACAAACAAAAAAAGACAAATAAGAGTTCCATAATGTAAATTTATCCAATATTTTTATAGAAAATGTAAAAGAAACAATTCATCCATGTTAAGACTATTTAAACAATTTGGTAAATTTTTATGTAGTATATATGTTCCGATGTTTATAGCCAAAAATAAAATACAATAAAGTGGTTGGTAAATAGAACAAACAAAACCAAGTACTTAATGATTTGAGTGCTGAATCATAAAATAACCAATATCAAACAAAATTAGATTAGTTTGCTTTAGGACAAACGAATTAGTAAAAAGTTTAATATCATCAAAAATATGGTATGTTTTTTAATTTGATTATGTAACTCATGTTCATGTGATATTGATGTAGGTTAAATAATAACCAAATATCTCAAGAAAATATTTATTTTAACAAAGTTTTCAAATTTGTATATTAGGATGATCAATTTCTTAGAAAGACTAATCAAATCACCAATTTATCAGATTACAAATATATATTCATAAACATATATATTTTGTACAAAAAAACCCGCGTATCTACGCGGGTATTCATCTAATCTTATACTAATAAAAGTTGAAGCTACATGCTTCTAAGAGTGTCCACATAGGATTTAAAAAAATCAATTTAATTGGTCCACATCAATATTTAAAAATAAGAAAAATTTATAAATTGTAATATTATTGCTGAAAAAAAGAAATTAAGAATGTATCCACATAGGATTTAAACAATCAATTTTATTGGTCCACATCAACATTCAAAATTAAGGAAAATTTACAAATTGTAATATTATTGCTGAAAAAGGAAATTAAAAAAGTTTATTGGTCTTATAAAAAAAATTTATTGGTCTACCTCAACATTAAAAATTGAAAAATTTCCAAATTCTATTATTGTTTTTAAAATTATTATAAGTAAAAAAATATATATATATAAAATTGATATTAATAATAAAAAACTAAAATAAACAATATTAAAATAAGAAATTTTTTAATTTAAATTAGATATATACACACATATTTAGAGACTCTTATATGAACATCCAATTTTTTTGTCACATAATTATAATAATTTTTAAGTTTTTTTTTCCTGTGTGTGCAACCATGTAAAATAAACTAAGACAAAAGATAGAGTAATGTTTCACTAAAAAATGAGTTATTACAACGTAAAAGAACTAACTTGACTAAACTATATATATGTTTAACTATTAGCTAAATTACAAATAATATAATGAAAGAAGATATAAATAAAGCCACTACAAGAACAAACTTGACTAAACTATATGTTTAATTATTAGCTAAATCATAAAGAATATAATGAAAAAGATATAAACAAAGACACTATAAGCCGCTTTAATATTGAAAAAAATATCATAAAATCTCCAAAGCTTGGCCACCAAATTTGAAAACAATGATAAATTTCAAGCAATCCGAGAAACATGTCAAGTGATTGATACTCAACACTTTTGAAAAACCAAACAATAAAAATAGAGAAAAAAACATAACAGAGGAGACTGAGGTATCTGAGGAAATTTTTTGAAATAACATAGCATCTGAATGAGTTTTAACAACCCAACATGAACCACAAAAATAACAATTAGCTGACCAAGCAACATCTGAATACATTTGATAAGCTTCATAATAAAGAGGAGAGGCTAAAATCACTTGCCGCAACGAGCTTCGTGTGAGATTTTTCAGTTTTGATTTCTAAATCTATTATTAATAAAAGTTATAGCTATATGCCTTTAAGAATGTCCATATATGATTTAAAAGTTCAATTATCTTGGTCCACATCAATATTCAAAATTAAGAATATTTCTAAATTTTAAAATTATATTGTTAACAAACAAATATATTTAAAGAAAAATAAAGGTTAAAGCTATATGCCTCTAAGGACATCCACATAAAATATAAAAGGTCAATTTTATTATTTCACATCAATAACTAAAATTAAAATTTTCTCTAAATTATAAAATTACATTGTTAATACAAAATAATATAGGAAAATTTGTTAATTAAAATTATTCGATTATTAATGATAGTTAAAGTTATATTATTTTCAAAGCATCCACATCAGTATTTAAATATTTATTTTTATTTGTATATATCAGAATATAAATTAAAAAAAGTTTCATAATTCTAATATTATGATTAAAAATATATTAAAAATAAAAAAATCTCTATTAACCAAGAAAAAAATCAACATGATATTAAAATCTCCATTATCACTGTTTAAATCACAAATTAATTTATTATCTATAAAAAAATATAACTACTTATACAAGTTTAAGGTACTTGATTTTAAAACTTTTCATGTAGAATTTTAAATAACTAATATTTATGATTTATATTCATCTTTTTTTTTAACATATGCAAAACATATCATCGAAATATGTAATATATTATGCGAAAGTATGTAATATTTTTTTTTCTCATGTAATATATTATGCAAAAATGATCCAAAAATTTACATTTTATATATTCAATTTGGAATTCAATAGATTAATGTAGAAGTTCTTAGTTTTGAGTTGTTCAATTTGTTATTTCATTTTTTATAAATTTGTATGTATTAAATTGTACTGATTTTATCTACTTAATTACAATTAGAAATGAGAATGAATATGATGAAACTGAATATAATCATACATAAATTATTAAAATAAATAAATATTATAGATTCATTGAAAAAAAAAGATATAACAAGAATAAAAATGAAGAAGATGAAAAGAAAATTTCATTCTTATTAGAAGAGATGACATATAATCATTTAAAATTATTTAAATACACTATTAATTGACAAAAATATATTCACAAATTTTGTGTGATTTTATTCATTTCATATTCAACTATTGTTTTAGTTTCAAATTTAAAGTTGTTATTAATCTCAAAGCAAATATTTTAATTATTAGTTTGTTTTTTAAATTAATTTATCAAAATAAAAATTTGTATTTGTTAAACAAACTAATGAAAAAAGATTAACTTATAAGTAAAAATGATGGAAAAAATTATCTTTTTGATTTAAATAAGTGAATGTATAATATTTTATTATCATGTTAATACTATGTTTAAAAAGTAACATTTGATTAAGTTGTAAAATTTTAGTTGGTTTTGGTATATTAACTTATAAGTGTTTGACTAAATAATATATTTTTGAAATATGATATACTGTATATAGATTCAAAACAAAACCGTTAAAATATCATAATGTACATAAAAATTATTAGATCAATACTATAATATTTTAATATATTATTAAAACACTAATATAGAAAATTTATATATTAATAAATATAATTAATTGCAAAATTTAGTTACTAATAAAAATTCTACTAATAATTACTAAAATTCTACTAATAATTACTAAAGCATCTCTGATTATAGAACCACCAACCTCTCTAACTCTCTCCACTTACACCACAGTCGCAATGTCTTCAGCCGCCGCCACCGTCTCCTCCTCGGCCAAACTCGCCGTGAAGCCTCTCAAAATCTCCTCTCTCTCCTCGAGATCAGCGTTACCATCCGTCATTTCCTTACCTTTCAACTCTCGCGGCCGCGATATTCCCCGTAAACGACTTATCCTCGTAACCTGCACCGCCGGAGACGGAGCCAAACCAACCGTCCTCGTCGCGGAGAAGCTCGGCGAGGCTGGGGTCAAACTCCTTGAGAGCTTCGCGAATGTCGATTGCTCGTATAATTTGACGCCGGAGGAGCTGAACACGAAGATCTCGCTCTGTGACGCGTTGATCGTGAGGAGTGGGACGAAAGTAGGACGCGAGGTTTTCGAATCGTCTCGCGGAAGGTTGAAGGTTGTTGGACGCGCCGGTGTTGGGATCGATAACGTGGATCTTAGCGCCGCGACGGAGTTTGGTTGTTTGGTCGTTAACGCGCCGACGTCGAACACGATCGCCGCCGCTGAACATGGGATCGCGCTTTTGGCCGCCATGGCTAGGAACGTTGCTCAATCTGATGCTTCTGTTAAAGCTGGTAAGTCACTTTTCGAATCTACCTTTTGTCATTTTCCTTAAATTCCCTCATACTTTCCATACTTCTGGAGAATGTATATCTACGTTTCCTCCTGATGAATGTGATCTTGATTTTCGAAAATTAGAGTAATATTTACTCAAGAAGTGTTCAAACTCAAATTTGGGAGTGTCTTTTGAGTATTGTGATGGATCGAGTACATCAGTTGTCGGCTGCATTTATGATTCTTATGTGTTTACTAAATTGATAATTCTGTTTCTGATGTTCTTGTGTGTGGAGTAAATTGATGATTCTGATAGTTTCTGTTGATGTTCTTGTGTGTGAACTAAATTGGATGATTCTGAGAGTTTCTGTTGATGTTCTTGTGTGTGGACTAAATTGATGATCCTGAGAGTTTCTGTTGATGTTCTTGTGTGTGGACTAAATTGATGATCCTGAGAGTTTCTGTTGATATTATTGTGTGTGAACTAAACTAATGATTCTCAGAGTTTCTGTTGATGTTCTTGTGTGTGGACTAAACTGATGATTCTGAGAATTTCTGTTTATGTTCTCGTGTGTGGACTATATTGATGATTCTTAGAGTTTCTGTTGATGTTCTTGTGTGTGGACTAAATTGATGATTCTGAGATGTTCTGTATATGATGCAGGAGAGTGGAAAAGGAACAAGTATGTTGGTGTTTCACTTGTGGGGAAGACACTTGCCGTGATGGGTTTCGGGAAAGTTGGATCAGAAGTTGCTCGGCGTGCTAAAGGACTCGGTATGCGTGTCATAGCTCATGATCCTTACACACCTGCAGACCGTGCTCACGCCGTTGGTGTGGACTTAGTGACCTTTGATGAAGCTCTTGGAACCGCTGACTTCATTTCTTTACACATGCCTCTTACACCCGCTACATCGAAGATGCTCAACGACGAAACTTTCGCAAAGATGAAAAAAGGAGTTCGGATAGTGAACGTTGCTCGTGGAGGTGTCATCGATGAGGACGCGCTAGTGAGAGCTTTAGATTCTGGTATCGTTGCTCAGGCTGCTCTTGATGTTTTCACTAAAGAACCGCCGGCTAAAGACAGCAAGCTAGTGCAGCACGAGAGGGTTACGGTCACACCTCATCTTGGTGCAAGCACCATTGAGGCTCAGGTTTGGTTCTGCGTTTATATTAACATTTCAAGTGATGCCTTTGGTGTGACTTTGTAGATTACTATGTTTGACATTGACAGGAAGGAGTTGCGATTGAGATTGCGCAAGCTGTTGTTGGAGCTCTTAACGGAGAGCTTGCTTCTACTGCTGTGAATGCACCTATGGTTCCTGCTGAGGTGAGCCTTCTTTAGCCGATACTAGTAAATAGCTATATATGTTCTATGTCAACAAGAAAAGTAGCGAGTACAACATTGTAAGATGATACGTAGAAGTTGGTCATTTTGTTCAAGAAACATAATAGCTTCTTCTTGTGTCAAATATGGACAAGAAATTAGCAACTTTTCCTTTGAAAGATGATTAGATTGTGGCAGAAGAAGCTAAACTTATTATATTCACAGGTTCTTGCTGAGCTAAAACCGTATGTTGTACTAGCGGAGCAACTTGGGAGACTAGCTGTACAGTTGGTTGCGGGAGGAAGCGGTGTGAAGAACGTGAAAGTGACCTACGCCTCGGCTAGAGCCACCGACGATCTTGACACCAGACTTCTAAGAGCCATGATAACAAAGGGTATCATCGAGCCGATCTCGGACGTGTATGTAAACTTGGTAAACGCGGACTACACCGCGAAACAGAGAGGTCTTAGAATCACAGAGGAACGTGGTGTTCTTGACGGGTCACCAGAGAGTCCGCTAGAGACCATCACGGTTCAGCTAGGAAACGTCGAGTCTAAATTCGCCAGCGCCTTGTCTGAATCAGGAGAGGTCAAAGTCGAAGGAAGAGTTAAAGACGGAGTTCCACATTTGACAAAAGTGGGATCTTTTGAAGTAGATGTGAGCCTTGAAGGAAGTATTATACTGTGTAGGCAAGTGGATCAGCCTGGCATGATCGGAACTGTTGGTAGCATCTTGGGAGAGTCAAATGTGAATGTCAGTTTCATGAGTGTTGGGAGAATCGCGCCGAGGAAGCAAGCGGTTATGGCGATTGGGGTCGACGAGATGCCGAGCAAAGAGACTCTCAAGAAAATCGGAGAGATTCCGGCTGTGGATGAGTTTGTGTTCCTCAAGCTATGATTCGGTGAGGATTCGAAAGGCTATGGCTTTATTTGTTTTGGTACTTTCACAGTTTTGAGATTGTTGAAGTAGCTTTAAGAGGTTGGAACTTGGTAAGATGAAGAGAATAAAGGTCTGCCTCGAGAATTTGACGTATGAGGCTTTTTCATGATTCAACTTTATGTTCTGTTTTAGTATTGCATTTTCCTGTTACCCAGTGGATATTATTCTATAGAGATTGTCTATAAATCGTTTCATTTGATGAAAGCAATGAATACAATGGTTTATTGTTCTTCTGGCCCAGTACTAATCCAAAAAGTAAGCACGTTGTTGTAACCGTTATCTCGCAGATAGAGAATGGAGATGAGTTTTGTCTCATATCGGTTTTTAAATGCTTCTGATTAAACGCCTTGGAGAAGTGTTGTGAGTGCCCGTGGAGCAGAGTGTTTGTACTTTGTTGTGAGGAAGCTAAGCACGGAAATCGAATCATAGTTGTGTGTCAAGCAAAGGAGAGCACCTGCACTATATCGCCCAAGACAGTTTTCGGAAAAATGGTTTCTTGCTAGATGCAAACTAGTGGCCGGATGATTTTTGAAATGGTAATAAGTTTAATTTTGAACTCAAAACCATAACTTTCAACAGAAGCAACCTCTTAAAACATTTCCTCTTCCATCTTCTCCCTACACTCACTACTCCAAGCTCTTAACACCGATGGTGTTATTTTAACTCTCTTTCAATATTCCATCCTCAGTGACCCTCTCTCTCTGTACGACGACGAAACACCGTGTTCCTTGACAGGTATCACCTGTACTGAGCTTGGGAATCCAAACTCTCTAGACATGTTTAGAGTTACAAGCTTAATTCTTTTTTTTTTTTTGATAACTCAGATAATCCCGCTAATTTAGGGACCGCCGGCGGCGCAGTTACGGATTGCAAATCTTGACTATAGACCAGCGCATCATCCCAAACACCGACTAATCCTGGGCCCGGAGAGATCATGTGAATACCCGGTGGCCAGAAGGATTAAATGTTGCAATTCTGTTTCCATGGTTAATTCTTTCAAACAAACAGCTTCTTGGTTCTGTTTCTCCGAGCTTGTTTTCAATCTCAAATCTGAGGAACTTGGATCTTGTTTTTCCTAGCCGATATCGGACGTGTATGTAAACTTGGTCAATGCAGACTACACAGCAAAACCGAAAGGTCTGAGAATCTTAACGGAAAGCGGTGTTCTTGACAGGTCACCAGAGAGTCCGGTCGAGACCATAGTAGTAGGAAAAATCTATAATGAAATTCCGTTTTTGCCCTCGTCCCTATAATTTAACAACATACAGAATACTGTATATATAGACTGAGAAAAGGCCGAAAAAAAAAACCCTAGCCGTAACTCCAAAACCCAGTTCCTCTCAATTTCGATCAAAGAGCAGAGCCGAGCTCTTCCAAAGCCCATTAGCCTCGTCGTTTCCCTCCTCTCTCTCTCTTTTCTTCTTTCAAATCCTTTCTTCTTCAAATCTTTTGCCTCGATTCGCGCTCTACAATCTGTGAGAGTGGGTATCTGATTCTCTCTTTCATACTCCCCTGAGTTTCCCATCTTAGATCTCGCTTTGTGAGCTCGCTTCTCACTCGATTTACTGTGGTTTTTCTTATTGGGTTTTAGGCCCTTCTGGATCTCTATCGCGTGTTTCTGGTCCTGATTCTCCCACCAAATTCGACTATCTCCCCTGATTTTTAACGCCCTGGTTCGTCTGAGGTCGGTATAAACATAAAGGCTTTCTTTTTCCCCCTCTAAATTCTGTAGCTATTATACGATGATGTGACGAGGATACTTCTCTCTGCTGTTTTTACCATCTTGGAGCTACTAGTTTGCTTCATCGTTTTCTGAGTTTACTAGTTTTCTGAATTTTCTACATCGGATTTCGAATAAGAATTTGCTTCTTCTGTGGATTTTAATAGCGATTCTACATGCCTACTGTGATCGTATCAGATTTGGGAACTGTTTTGTTCAGGTGTGATAATTTGGATAACTGTTTTGTTTAGGTCAACGATTTGGGGAATTTGATATGGATGCACAGTGGGTTGCACTTTATGTACAAGTTAATTAGAACAATGATTGCTAGTGGTTATCATCAGTAGCTCATTGAATGTGCCTCTGCAAATTTTTTTCCTTCTAAGTTTTGAAGTACTTTTACTACCAACAGTTTGGTTGTATGCAGAAGTTTGAGATTGCTTATGAAGTGAAGTGATCGAATTCTTTGATTGGTATCTTTTTTTTCGTTTTCAGATTCTAAGGAAAGAAGCCAATCTTCTACATCATAAGAGTTACAAGAATCAGAGTAACAATTCTCTTCCCTTGGCTGCTCGTTTCTCTGGACCAAATTCTTAACTCTCATTACCAGATTTGACTTTTTTAGACATTACCAAATTCTCGGCTGCTCGTTTCTCTGGGTTCTCTGATGTCTCAGTTTTACATTCTAGACATTTGTGTTTTCTTTCATTGATCCGATGCATTTAATTGTCTTTCCTTTTTTCGATTTTTTTTCTTTTGCTCTTGAACTCTATTAGATACGTTTGCTAGTTTTTCATGGGCTAAAAGTATGGACACACTAGTTCTAGCTCATTATGTTCTTCAGTATTTTATCGGTTGCTCATTTTATTTTTGTGTATGTTTATTTGAGTCCAAATTTCGCCATTGCTGATTGATATTTTAAGAAGTGATTCAGTATGTAGAAGCAGATACGAAGATATTAAATACGCCTGACTCTTTTTTTTCTTCTCTGGTGCAGAACATCTCGACAACAATATGGATAATAATTCCTTGATGCTGATTGACAACAATGGCTCTCTTGAGATTGATGACCAATCCCATATGGATAACAATTCCTTGGCTTTGGTCACGTCCACTAGGCCCAGTGAGGATGAACCTAATGCGGATACTGATGATGGCTTGCTGCCTGATCCTGGTACACAACCCGGCAAGCGCGGTAGGAGGAAGAAGTCTATGGTGTGGGAGCACTTCACCATTGAAACTGCTAGCCCGGGATCTACTAAAGCTTGTTGCAAGCACTGCAGGAAATCATTTGCCTACATAACCGGTCAAAAGTTGGCAGGAACAAGCCACCTAAAGCGTCACATTCAATTGGGTATATGTCCAATGAGCCAAGAGACCCACCCTCAGCTCACTCAAATCTCTGAAACCAAAGATCCTACCTCTTGTCCTCCCAAAAAACGCCAGAGGTCATCTGCTACATATTTGAACGCCCCTCTAGATCAAGATCGTTGCTACAGTGAGATGGCAAAGATGATTATCATGCATGAATATCCCCTACACATGGTCGAGCATTCTGGATTTACTGGTTTCGTGCAGGCCCTTCGTCCCCAGTTCAGTATGGCAAGCTTCAATACCATTCATGCTGATTGTGTGACTATGTACTTGTCCGAGAAGCAAAAACTGTCAAACTTCATCAGTGAGATTCCTGGACAGGTAAACCTCACCATAGATTTGTGGACATCAAATCAATCACTGTGTTATGCGTTTGTGACGGGACACTTCATTGATAGAGACTGGAATCTAACTCACAGGCTTCTGAATGTTGCCGTTGTTCCTTCCCCTGATTCGGATTTTGCTTTAAGTCAGCCTATTGCAGCTTGTTTATCCGACTGGAATCTGGAGAGAAGGCTTTCCAGCCTCACTGTTGGGCAATCAGTAGTAAATAAAACATCTATTGAAAACCTCAGATGCTATTTGTCTGCCAGGAACCAGCATGTAATGAATGGTCAGTTGTTGCTTGGGAATTGCTATGCCCGCCTCCTAAGCAGTATGGCGCAAGATGTGCTTGGAGCTGCGGATCTTGAAACTCCCATAAAAAAAGTCCGTGATAGCGTCAAGTATGTGGAGACCAAAGACAGTTGCGGAGAGAGGTTTGATGAACTGAAGAAACAACTTCAAACACCTTCTACAAAAGGTCTCCGCATTGACAACCAAACGAAATGGGACACAACTTACAATATGTTATTGGCTGCCTGTGAACACAAAGAAGTGTTTTCTTGTTTGGGAAATTGCGATCTTGATTATAAAATTTCTACATCTCCTGAAGAATGGAGAAAGATCGAGATTCTTTGCTCGTGCTTGAAGATCCTTTTTGACGCTGCTACTGTTTTGACTGGTTCAACCCGATTGACAGCAAACGATTTGTATCATGAAATGACAAAGTTTCAGCTAGAGCTAAGCCAAGCAGCCGTGAGTGAAGAACCAGATGTCAGAAACCTGGCGAACCCACTGAGAGAGAAGTTTGACGAGTACTGGAGAGGATGCTTTCTGCTTCTGGCAGTTGCTGTGGTGATGGATCCGCGCTTCAAGATGAAGCTTATTGAGTTTAGTTTCTCTAAGACTTATGGGGAAGATGCTGAAAAATGGATCAAGAGTGTTGATGATGGTATACGTAATCTGTACCATGACTATGCTGAACAAAGTCACTCCCTGCTGGATGCTTATGTGGGCCACGGGAATGATGGCTTTTCGGAAACAGATATGTCTCAAGTTCACTTCCATCATGAATACCACCATTCAAATGGGCTTTCACATGATCAAATATATGAACAGCCTGAAGATGGCAACCTGCTGAATAAAAAACCAGGAGACCATATTTTAGACGGTCATGAGTCGCAAGAGGTTGCTCAGACTCAGGTAAACCAACTGGCAGTAGAGTCCGTACCCCATGCCCAAGAAGAGAAAATCGCAGAGCCTATTCTCCAGGCAGATCAGTCAGGTGAGATGGGACCACAGGAGAATCATCCAATTGAAATACAATCTGGAGAAGGTCAGCAAAGTGGGACATTGTCTGTGGGAGGCAACACCACACAGGGAGTAGAAAAAGAAGGCCGTATGGTGAGTCCAGTTACACAGCCGAACCATATCGTGGAAGAGCTGTCGGAAGAGAGCAAGCCAATGGAGGAAACACACCATGCGACTCAGTCGGCTGAAGAGATGACCCATGAGACCCAGCCGGTGGAGGAAATGCTGGAGGACACTCAACCAGTTGAGGAAGTAGCTCAGGAGGAACAACTGGTGGAGGAAAAGCATGATGACACCCAGCCAATTGAAGAAATGGCACAAGAGGCCCATAAAGTGGAGCTAATTCCCGAGCACAGGGAAAATCCACAAAGCGCTGATGGTCTTTTGTGCCAAGAGTTTACTCGAGAAGGCGAAGCTGTGCAACAAGAGCAGCAATCAGATGAGGGTATAGCCTCAGAGCAATATCCCTCTGCGGTCCAGCATGTAGAGGAGGCACAACATGATTCTCAAGCACATGCAATACCACAGGAAGAAGCTGCGTTTACGATCTCTCAAGAAGGTCACCACGTTGACGTCCTTCTCCAGGAAGGTCACCACCTTTGAAGCATCTTCGCAGGAGTTTCCTCTCATCACTATTGGAGATGGGTTCTCAGACTTTGAGATTTACATCTCTGAGGTAGGCAATCACCAACAGATGAAATCGGAGCTCGACCAATACTTGGAGGAATCTCTGATACCGCGATCAGAGGACTTTGAGGTTCTGGGCTGGTGGAGCTTGAATCGAACCAAGTACCCAACCCTCTCCAAGATGGCAGCTGATGTGTTGTCCCTACCCTTTTGCACTGTCTCTCCTGATTCTGTTTTTGATACGGAGGTGAAGAAGATGGACAACTATAGGAGTTCTCTTGGACATGTGACCTTGGAAGCTCTCTTCTGCGCCAAGGACTGGTTCAAGCACGGCTCCTCCACTTCCACCTCAGTGAACAGTCTGAAGAGGGAATCTTAATGTTTCTTTCTATCATTCCTTGTCCATCGATTTAGTTTTAGTTTACTATATTTTGTTGTAGCCACTGTCTAATCTGGATTTTTAGCCTTTTGTTTGCTTATGATTTACAATTTGGAATCGTAGAAATGATTCTGCTCTCTGTGGATTTCAATCATTTGTGTCAGTGGTGAGATCTTCAGTTACATAATATTATCTTGTTTTCTATGGTATATAAGCCGACTAAGAGTCTGGTATGAACCGGTTGAGTCTTAATTTAAAACTGTTGATTTCAGATATGTGGGAGAAATTATGATGTAAATCTGATTCTGACATGCTTTCCAGAAACTCCAATCTGTTTGCGTCACAAGATATGTTGAATAAAATGATATTGTGGAATGATTAAAGAATAACAATAACGATAAAAAATCCTGAATCCAATTTTGGCTTTTATGTAAAGCTAAACTCAGGATATAGATACAGTGGCTTTGTCCATGTTTGATGATATAGCTCCAGCAATTAAACCCAATATTGGAGTAAAACCACATGTCTTCTGAGTTTGCTGCAGAAGATAGAAGAGAGTTGGTGCATATGGTGGAAAAAGAGAAAGAAACTTGATCATCATTTTGGAAAATTCCTAATATCATGACGACTGTTTTTGTATAACAAGTGTACATCTGTCCAGTTTACACTTCAATAGGATTGATCACTTTTGACAGTTGCAGAATATTAAACTATAAGACCGAATGCAATAAAAAGAGAAATAGGGTGTTTTTCTATGCAATAGAAAGACAATTTCAGAAAGCAAATTCCCAACTCACTAATGGAAGGCAAATTTTCCCTTCAAGAAAAATCTGACAGGATCCATAAATTTAATGACTTGGCTGTTTATGATTTATTAGCTGTTTTTTTTTTACTATATTTTTTAAATGCTCTTTTCATAATATAATTGATCAAAATCAATATTTTTTTTCCATAATTATTTTTTATTTTTAACATCTATACATAGAGCTTATATTTATATCATCTGGATATAAAAGAATCTCAAATTTTAACACTCTTTTTTTATTTGTTCTCCTACATTATCACTTTTTTGGTGTTTTTTCTAATTTTTAAATTTTCTAATTATATTTTGTGATTATAGATATATTAGTTATAAAATAGTATTACAAAGTAAAGAATTTGTGGTAGATAACCACGTTACTATTCATAATTTGCTATATAGGAAAACTACTATTCAAATACTGTATAATTTCTTTAATACATTTTTACCTTTATAAACCCATATATATAGCTCACTCTCTCTTACTCTCTCTCACCTTTCTCTTTCTTTCTTTTACTACAGTTTGAAGTCTAAACAACAACGACGGAAACAATAATTTCTCTCACTCTCTCTCATTTATCTCTTTCTTTCCTTTACTCAAATATTCCAATGCGTATCTGCTCAACTATTGTTCTATGTGCTCTAATGGTGTAAAAGACTGATTTTTTTTAGCTTCTGCAATATGAGTTTTCTCTAGTTTAATTTCAATTTCCCTGAGAGAACTACAAAATTTTTTATCTTATCTAAATCAAAGTTATTTTAGTTTCGTTTCTTTTCTTGAATTATGTATCTGCTTATGTAAATTAGAAATTATCTTTCTTCTCTAAAGTTATAGATCTGAGACTGAGAGAGAGATTGTTGAAGATGGAGATCTCGATGAATTACGTTGGAAAAATATTAATTTGAAAGTCAACAATCAACAATTTCATTACTCTGTTAAATAAAATATTAGAGATATATTTAAATGTTAATATCATCCAAAAAATATTTTAACATATCCAAATAATATATAGCTGGATAATATATGATGATTAGCTTTGAATCCGAAAGCTGCACTCATTCCAAATTATCTTTGAATTTTGAATTAAGTTTTTAAATTGAATGTTAGATTGCTAATATATTTTATAGAGGATTACAATTTATTTACTATAACATATAAATGTTTTCATACATCTCTAATATTCTACTTAACATGTTAACTATATTATTACATAAAATAGATTTAAATTAATACTTGATAAGTCAAATATAGCAACTGAAATTAAGCACTCTAACAAATTATATAGTTTTATAATATGTTATGTAATTGTATAACTTATATGTTAACATGTATGAGCTTAAAAGTAGCGCACTAAAGAATTATGTAAACTGCTAAATTTTAATGTAGTTGTATAACATATATGTTAACGAATTCTGATATAGGGTCCGATTGGTAAGAACTGTGACTGTTGGCTGTGACTGTAAACTTTTGGCTGTAGAGATTTTGGTTGTAAAAACTGAGACTGTTATTTTTCAAAGTTTGATTGTTGTCATAAACTGTAAGAACTTTAACTGTTAATTTAAATATTTATTTTCTATTTATTAAAATACAAATTATATAAAAAACAAATAATAAATTTAATTATTAGCATAAATACCCAATACAATAGAAGAATATAATAAAAAAAATACAAAATCTCAGAAATTAATATATAAAACGGAAAAACTTCATCTCTAAATTATTTTTTATATTAGTTTAATTATCAAAATTAATATATAAAACGGAAAAATTTCTTCTATACTTAGCATGAATTTTGAAAAGAAGGATTTTTTTTAAATTTTTTTTGCAAACTCAGTTTTCTCGACTCAAGTTTATTTCTTAATTAAAGTTTCTTAAATTAAATCTTTCAAATATCTTATTATCCCTTGAATTACGAAATCATATCTATGATATAATTGTATGTTGAATTCGATAATAAAAATCTATTTTTAAAACTTAAGAATTTTTGTTTTTTAATGATAACTAACGCACAAATTTTTAAATTATCATTTTTTTATTTTTAGATTTTATAACAATTCCTATTTTTTATTTATCTAAGGTTTTTTTATAATTTTAAATAGTAAAAAGTTAGTTTCAAAGATTTTTAAAAAGGATTAGTTTTTATAATGTATAAATTTTTTAAAATATTAAACCAAATTGCCCTTAATAGAAGGAATTGATGACTAAAGGAATAGTTAAAAAAAAAATCCTACGTAAAGAGTAGGAGAGAGAAACTTTAAAAGCCACAAAAAGAGCCTGTTAAAAATAACAAAGAGAAATCTAAAAAGTGCTGTAAATACTGTCAAATATTTTAAAGTCTAAAAAGTCTGATTGGAAAAACAATTGTTTTAAAAACTGTTAAACTCATAAAAGTCCTCACAGCCTACACGCCAATCAGAGCCATAATCAGTTATCGAGCCAGATATAGCAATTCAGAGGTGTCAAATAATGCATAAATTTTTTTTATTTTATTTTTAAGAATGCAGAAACTTATAATGCTAACAAAGTTTGTAGTTTGATAAAAAAATATGTAACTGTATAACTTATATGTTAAATAAAGAAGAATGATGAGAGAGAAATTCCATTGAAAAAATACTCGTAACAAAAGAAGGAAAGGTTAAAGGGTAATAACACTCTTAATAGTGTCAGACCAATGTCACACCAATTCACTGTTTTTCCTATTTTGCTAATTTTGAACAGTCCTAGGATTTTCTAGCAAATTAACTCTTTATGTAAAGCTAAACTGAGAAAAACTCAGGATATAAATACAGTGGCTTTGTCCATGTTTGATGAATTACGTTGGAAAAATATTAATTTGAAAGTTAACAATCAACAATTTCATTACTCCATTAAATAAAATATTAGAGATATATTTAAATGTTAATACCATCCAACAAATATTTTAACATATCCAAATAATATATAGCTGGATAATATATGATGATTAGCTTTGAATCCGAAAGCTGCACTCATTCCAAATTATCTTTGAATTTTGAATTAAGTTTTTAAATTGAGTGTTATATTGCTAATATATTTTATAGAGGATTACAATTTATTTACTATACCATATAAATGTTTTCATACATCTCTAATATTATACTTAACATGTTAACTATATTATTACATAAAATAAATTTAAATTAATACTTTATAAGTCAAATATAGCAACTGACACTGACAAATTATATAGTTTTATAATATGTTATATATTTGTATAACTTATATGTTAACATGTATGAGATTAAAAGTAGCGCGCTAAAGAATTATTTAGACTGCTAAAGTTTAATGTAGTTGTATAACATATATGTTAACGGATTCTGATATAATCAGTTATCGAGCCAAATATAGCAATTCAGAGGTGTCAAAAAATGCATAAATCTTTTTTATTTTATTTTTAAGAATGCAGAAACTTATAATGCTAACAAAGTTTGTAGTTTGATAAAAAATTATGTAACTGTATAATATGTTAAGTAAAAAAGAATGATGAGAGATAAATTCCATTGAAAAAATACTCGTAACAAAAGAAGAAAGGGTTAAAGGGTAATAACACTCTCAATAGTATCAGACCAATGTCACACCAATTCACTGTTTTTCCTATTTTGCTAATTTTGAACAGTCCTAGGATTTTCTAGCAAATTAACTCTACAAAGTATCTAATATATAGACAATAAAAAATATGATGAATTTTATATGATGAAGTGATGTGGAGGAAAGAGAAAATGAGTTGGAGGATAAAAATATTGATTTGCCTTGTTATTGTAGAGTTGAGTGTGAATTGAAAAAAATGAAATGATGTGGAAAAAAAATAAATGATGTGGAGGGAATATTGGAAGATAAATTTGCTTTTCTATTGGAGATGGTCTAACATAGACAGGAGAATGCCTATCTTCTGAATCGATAAGTAGGCATTAGTCAGCTTTTATTGGTTATAACCACTATGCCTGGGATTATTATCTGATATCCGGTCTCTGATCCAGTATCCGCTCCTATCCGATCCATAAAAACGAATATCCGTATAGTTTGGATATGGATCCGGATAATAAAATTAAGTATTCGGTAAATTCGGATACTAATCCGGACAATTGGAAAATTTGAAAACAGATATCCGATATTCGTTTGTTAAGTATTTAATTATTTCTGATAATATTTATTCATTTTTTAAAATTAACTTTGTTGTATTAGAGTATACATGAACTAGAGTTTCAAGCTCATCATCATCAATACCCATGACATAAAGATAAATTAACTTCTCTATTACTATTTTGTCTTTTGCTATGTAATTTTTTTAAATCAATAAAACCGG